GAATATACACTCGTGTGGTTGACCGAACTTCAGGTTGAGCAGAGGATTCAGACGGGTTCCTTCCTCTGCCACTTCCTCGTCCTCTTTGTGAGGCAGAACCAACTATTTCAGATGGTGCAGGCTCACCAACCATCAATGGATAATCCCGGATAAAATGTTTGGCATCTCTACATCGGAAACAAGTCCCAGCAGCCATCCGACAAGCCCCAGAATGGTTTTTCCCACAGTGCTAACACTGTCTCGCTTGACTCGAAGTAGATCTCCTAACACCAGATCCCACTGACTACGTCTGTCTAGGTCTTGCCTGACTTGCTCCCCTAGCAGATGATGCAACAGATTTGATCTAGCTTTTGATCGAAATCTTGAGTCGCTTCCTCTTTTTGGTGGTGCTGAGCTAGAAGAAGCACTCGTTCTCTTTGATGTCTGAACTCTAAAATCCCCGAATCTCTCATTCTGAGCTCTTTTAAGAGCCTTGGCACGATTGATCACCTCTTGGAACGAGGAAAAATTCAATACTATCATCATCTCTTTCAATCTAGGGTGTAAGCCCTCCACAAACCATTCACAAGCCTCTTTTTCAGTAGGTACAAGCTCAGATGCAAACCTACTCAGCTTGTTCAACTCACATTCATACTCATATACAGAGTGGTTCATTTGTTTCAAATTCAAAAACTCATGCTTCATCTGCCGAATAAATTGATCTCTAATGTACTTGTTTTTAAATTCATCTAAGAACAAAGACCAAGTCAACTGGTCACTGGACATCCTCATGGTGATGTTCGTCCACCATATCCTCGCCTAACCCCTCAGCAACGAGACAACTCCATCTAACTTATCCTCTTCAGAACAGTGGAGACCATCCAACATGATTTTCAAATCATTTAGCCAAAGATCCGCCGCAACCGGACCTTCCTCGGCTTTTCCCTTAAATTCGGGAGCTCCTAAACCTCTCAACTCTTTTGCTATATTCATTCTTTGAGTTGGTGGAGCAGGAGGTTGAAGACGCGTTAAAATAGCATCCAATATCCTGAAGAAAGTGTCTTGATCTTGTACAGGCACTCCCTGAGATGCCTATCCTTCACCTTGCCTGGCCAGGGCAGGTGAATTACTACTTTCAGCAGGCCTATCTTCTCCCGCTTCACTTCGGGAGCTACTATGTCCGGACATCTAATAAAATAAACACATTATTCTATTAGTAAAACAACATACTCATACTATACTAGATCAGAAGTTCTCACTATTTGTTGGCATGTATTCCATTTAAAGACTCTACAGATTCTGGTTTATGCCTAGAATCGGCTAAACCATAGCTCTGACACCATTAAATGTAACACTCCCAACCCGTATCCGACCCAGATACTAGTCCGAGGTGTCATATTACCTTTTTAAAACATCTTTCTTACAAAATCACAACATTTGAACTTATATTAAGAAAATACGATAATATATATATTAATACACTTTTACCAAAATACTCAGAGCATACACAACTTAACCCTTTAGTTACATGCCAACATCCATTTACATAACAAAATGACCTACTTATTAAGTTGCTTCTGATCTGATAGTTACAGGAGTAATGTTATCCAGCTATTTAACCTCGATCGTCTACTTTATCGGATCCTACGTGTGAAACACTCACACGCTAAGTCATCGACTTAGTGAGGCAATATAATAATAACAATAAAATATAAAAGAATTGCCAAAATGAGATGGGTTGCAATGATAATATGTATGTAAACAATGCAATAACCATAACCATGTTTCTTACACATAGATTTATCAAATTCACATTCATAAGTTCACATTATTAATTTCATTAGCCCATGATACCATATTGAGAACCTAAGGTATGTGAGTATTGTGAGGTTGTGCACTATGCTGTCACCACAACTCGTATAATTGTACCAAAGTGTCATGTAGAATTGCACCGGAGTGCCGCGTAGAATTGCACCGTAGTGCCATATAATAATGTTCATAAGGACCACATATCATTCCTTAAGAATCATATACATATACTAGGGATCAAGTATGTGTCTCACAATACTTCACACATGTTCCAAAGAATATATATATCCCGAAGGACCGCGTAGACCCTCTACCCTTGGCATGCCAACTATACCTATAGTTCTCATCTACATAACATGAGCTTTCACAATTCACATAATTTGTATCACGTAGACATATTATTTTCCATACCTTTATCACATAACTCATATAACTTTTTCCTGCATATTCATGTCACATAATGCATATGGTATAAACTCATATCATGTTTCATAATATGGAATGTAATCATGTATCAAAATATTGAATCTAGATTTATCATAAGTCTAGAACTGATTATAATACTATATTCATGCTATGCATATGCACTCACCTAGATTTCTTTGTATTTCCCTCGATCATTCCTACTTGTCGATTGTTCCAGAACTCGTTTAGGCTCGATATCTACATAGTAATTCATTGATACTTATCAGTATACTAATTAGTATATTCTCAGCTATCATTTCTTAGGCTAAAAGAAAAGCCATTTTCATCTTTTAATTGAGGTATGCATCGATGCACTACACCATGCATCGATGCATAAATCCTATTCGATGTTTGTATTTAATGGGGTGCATCGATGCACTCCTTATGCATGTATCGATGGCATTCGATGTTTGTATTTTAAAAGAGTGCATCGATGCACTTCATGTGCATCGGTGCACCTTGAACAATTTCTGGGATTTATCCTTGATGCATCGGTGCACATTGAATGTGCATCTATGCACATAGCCCAGAAATGTTATTTTAAGCACGAAAATTTCTTTATAATCTTCTCTACACTTTATATTTCACCTCTTTTTTATATCCCTAACTTGCATACTCTTACTTAAACTAATTATTATCCATTTCATACCTCTAAAACTTAGAAATCCAATTCTCCATGTAGAATTTAAGAATCTAACCCAAATTCCAACATGTTCTAATTTGAATTCTAACACCTCATACTTCTTAGTTAGCTTTATGACAAGTCAAATCCCACTTCTAATTCTTATTATGAACTCTAATCCAAGATTTCACTTTTCTACTTCATTTCTTTAATTCTTCATATACTTCTCATCTTATGGTTTTAAGATAATCTAAGCTTTCCTTAAGCTTAGTTATCATCTAAGGATCAATAAGAAATCTTAATTTCATCAAGAATTTGATCAACAAGAAAACTCACCTTTAGCTTGGTCTCACGATGGATAAGAAGAAGTGAAGAAGAAGAGAAATCTGGAAACTTTTGTTCTCTCCATTTGCCTTCCACGTGGATTTAAATATCATCATCTAATATTTAATTATTTCCCCTATTAAAAGACTCATTTACCCCTTTATTTCCTCCTTCTTTGTTAATTGATCCTACACAAAATATTCCCATTAAATCTTTCAACTATTCAATTTATCTACTTTGGTCACTAAATTTTAAAATTTCACAATTTGATCACTAACCCAGTATGGAGGATGTTACATCACTTATATCTACGGATAAGGTTATTTAAACTTAAATCACTTAAAAAATAATAGAAATTATTTTTTTTAAAATTTAATTCTTATTAAATTAAAATTAAGTTTGATTATGAAATTGTTATATTTTTATGATATATTTGATTAAATTTACTTATACCTACGGATAAAGTTATTTAAACTTATATCACTTAAGAAAAATAATATTTTTTATAATTGAAATTAGTTTTTAAATTTATTTCTTATTAAATTAAAATTAAGTTTAAGAGATAATTTTATCTTTTTAATAATTTTAAATTTATTTTTTAATTAATTAATTTAAATTTTATATTCATATTTCTAAAATCTTTTAATAAAAGTCAATTGTTCCATGTTAATGCGACAGTTAATTATATTACTCATATTTTTTTTTATGAAAATTGGTTTAGCACTACAATAAAATTTGTAATGATTTAATAACTTTAATAATTATTTTATAACTTTAAAAATTATTATAATAAAAAATATTTTAACATGATCTAATAAACACAATCTAGTGATCATTAATGATAGTCTTGACTTGTAAATTAGTTTATATGACTCATATATACATGAAACTTGCTCAAGTAACTTATGATACATTTTGGCTTGATTTAGTACAATTTAGTGACTTGAAAGATAGTTTGAAATGTTTAAAAATTATTATAAAAAAAATATTTTAACATGATCTAATATACATACTCGTGCTTCAAGTAGATGGAACCGGAGGATCGAACGATCAGTGGCTGGATTTGCAAGCTGTTGAACAACGTTCAATGAATCACTTTCGACGACAGCAGCCAGAGGTGCCATGATCCACCGCCAAACGGACACCATAGCAAATGGCCTGAGCTTCAATGATACCAGCAGCGCGGGACATGACATAGAGTATCGATCATGTATCGAAGTCTAGGTCTTAAAAGTTGAAAATTAGTTGAATAGCCTTAAGAATTTGTTTAGTTTGGCTTCTTTTGCCATAAATTCTAAATTATTTGTATTATGATCCTTAATACTTTGGTTTGTCTTTGACAGAAAGAATGTGATCAAATTTTACTTGAATCAGTCTTCATTCTCGATTAAACTTTCAAATCAAATAAAAGTGTTACAAGAATAATTAAATAATACATATTAATTATAATATATATTTTTTAAAATCAAATCAAGTTCAATTATTATCTCCCTTAAATAAAATCTAATACATTAAACCGAGATTATATTATCCTAAAAATTCAAGTTTTCAAACACCGATAAACTGATGCCGTGTCACTAATTTTTAAAGAGAAAAAATAAATAATAAAAAAAACCTTAAATTTTAGAATCATCCTAATATAGGTTAATCTTGGTCTAAGATATATATTTGCAAGTTTTTTCACTTTACTGAACTTGCACCATCATGGTCCATGGCAAAATAAGGCGCATCCAAGATAAAAAGGGCCATAAGCCCAAACCAATGACATTTGCTGACACCTCTATCAACCACATGGTAATCGCGTGTCTATTGTTCTTTCGGCTAGCTTCTAAGTCTGAAAGATCATGACATTATGCTTTGGTTGAATCTCTTGCTTCTCCACGTTGGTTCTGTAAGTGTTCCTTTCCTTCCCAGTTCAATTTTATTTCTTATTCTCTTTTACTTCCTCTTCTACCCATATCTTCTCCTTCTCGCTTTCGCTCTCAATCTTCAGTTACCCTCATCACTTTTCAATCAGGCCGGCGTGTAATGTGTTCTCTTCTGTTTGAGATGGATGCTTTCTATGTTTGCTTTCTGTTTCGATTCCGATTTCAGTTTTTTCTTTGCTTGTACAAATGAATCTGTGAATACCTTGAATTTGTGTATTAGATCGCCAACAATCCTTGTTCTGGATCGTGTGCGATTCAATTATGTAATAGAATTCTGGAACCTCTGATTTGCCTAACGATTGTGTGAATTTTTGTTTCGTTTTTGTTGTCTCAGGTATCGTTTAGCTAGGGAGCTGCCGTGCCGTGCAGTATTAAAATCGGGCTTGAAACTATAGTAGATTTCTGGAATCTCTGTTTTGCCAAATGCTTTGCCTATTCCCGCTTGAAACTATAATTTTCTGCATGAGTAGGTAATGAAGGGTTTTCATGAGAGGAATGATTATCTGAAACGCCCTTCTAAAACTTCTATTGACAGCTCACCTACCTCTGGAACTGGATCAGAACCAGGTCCCAGCGACTCTAAGTTCTCAAAGACTTCTCTTTGGTCAAATTTCTTTGCTTCTGCTTTCTCTGTCTTTGACACAATTAGTGAGTCATCCACGTCATCATCATCAACTTTGGCTTGTGAAAAGAAGGCCTCATTTTCTAAAACAAATGGGTGGACAGCAGCTGTGAAGAGGGTTGTCTCCAGTGGCTCGATGAGGAGAATTCATGAACGTGTTATGGGGCCGAGCAAGATTGGAATGTCTAGCTCAACTAGTGACATATGGCTTCTAGGCCTGTCCTATAAAATTTCACAGGAGTCATCTGCAGATGTAGATGCCACTAACGGATTAGTTGCATTCAAACATGACTTTTCGTCACGAATATTGATGACATATCGTAAAGGTATTTATCAAGTTCACTCTTCACAGCATGCGTGGTGATAATGTGTTTTCTAAGTTGTGTGCCAACAGGTTTTGATGCTATCGGCGATACAAAAATCACAAGTGATGCCGGCTGGGGTTGCATGCTTCGAAGTAGCCAGATGCTTATTGCACAGGTTATTTTTATTTTATTTTTCTCTTGAAAATGTTCAAACAAGCACTAGGGTATGACTTTTCATCATGAGAATTGACATTTCCTGTTGTCTTGGGTTTATTTTAGCTAGTTCATGTACTGGTTTTCATCCCTTGCAGGCATTGTTGTTTCATAGATTGGGGAGATCTTGGCGAAAACCTTCACAAAAGGTTGTTCGATTTATTTTCGATGCCTGTTTTTTTCTCTCTCTTCTTATTCAGCTAGATTTAGATTCTAATTGACACAAAAAGTAAAGTGTTTTCTTCTCTGACCCCTTGTTTTCTATGCAGCCATTTGACCAAGCATATATTGAGATCTTGCATCAGTTTGGTGATTCTGAGGCCTCAGCATTCTCCATCCACAATCTTATTAAAGCTGGAAAGACTTATGGACTTGCTGCTGGGTCATGGGTAGGCCCATATGCCGTGTGTCGCTCATGGGAATCTCTTGTTCGCAGTAAGAGGGAGGAAAATGACCTGGAACGCCTGGTACTTCCTATGGCTGTTTATGTTGTTTCTGGTGATGAAGATGGTGAGAGAGGAGGAGCTCCAGTTTTCTGTGTTGAAGATGCTTCTAGACATTGTTTTGAATTTTCACGACACCAAGATGACTGGACACCTATTCTTTTACTTGTACCCTTGGTTCTTGGACTTGACAAAGTAAATCCCAGGTTTGTGATGTTATGACATTTCTTCATTTTATTGTTTTGTGTTTGATAGATCCGTCAAACACAATTCATAGTGTAAATTGATCTGTCATGTTTGTATCAATTAGTTTTTATCACTGAAATTTTCTTCAGTCCGGTGCAATCTCCAGGACACCTATGATTGCTAAAATCATGACCTCCTCTTTAAGTATTATTGAATACTGCACTAATCCACTGAGCAGTGAGAAGATGGGATTTCTTACACCTAGTTGTTGCTAATTAGTCAAATTGGCACATTCATAAGTTTCTTAGGTAACAGCGTTGGATCAATTCTGGGTTAATTCATCATAAAATGGATGTTGTTTCTTACTCCTGAGCCGTGACTATAGTGAAGATGATGAGTGCATTGTGTCTTGCAAATGCCAACTTCTTTAAATGGTAGTACTTGTTTAGTGGAGTTTACTGGAGTTATTGGTAAAATCCCACCACTGTTGATGCGCCTGCTTAGAAATTAGGCGATGTGTAGCCCTAAAGTTATTTCTGGGCATAGAATGGTCTGCTTGATTTCCAAGTGTCACTTTATCTTTATGCTATTTAGTGTCAAACAGTAGAACTGTAATTTTTAATTGCTCTTGGCAGTGTTCAATAATATGTTTCAAGGAATCTCGAGCTATTTTCTGATTTTGAGTCACTTTGACCTTGAGATTTAGCAATCAAAGAATACATTTGTGGAGACGGATAATGGTTATCCTAGGATAGCCTTGTGAAGTTGTATGAGCTCAAAAAGTGGTTAGTGGGGATTTGCTCTGCTTTGGTTGTATGGTACCTAACTGGATAGATGATTTCCCCCCAGATAAACTCTATTTATGAGAATTAGTATCTTTATGCTTCAGAGTGAAGTGGGCATAAATGTCATATTTTTCTTGTAACTCATCGATAAGCAATAATGAGAAATTAATAGTTTACTTTTTTACTACAGTTTAACACAAAATAGAGTTATTTACTGTGACTTTAGTTTATCCTTCTTTAATGAGGAGATGATTGGAATTTGGAATGCTTTTCTCTTCTATTTCAAATTGATTATGCTTGTTTTTCTGTTGAAGTAGCATGATTAAACTTAATTGGTCATTATAACTTTCCAGTTTTGTGGTCAACTGAGAGTAAATACTAAGTAATATGAAGACATCTATTATGTTTAGTTGTGAAAAGTAGTTGATTTAACCATATAACTAGGGAATATACATGATGTTAAATATTGTTGGCGTTGTGGCATAGCACGCACTATATAGTGGTAGTGGCATCCTTCACCATTGCTCTTAACTGCAATTGAGGCACAAATGGTGATTTACTTGCATATCAGCATAACAGAAAATAACGGCTATAATGTAATGCTATAGCCACTATTGATTTCTTCTACGTCTCTATTATTAGTGTGGTATGGAGAGAGAGAGATCTTAAATTCTATAAATTTGAGCTTCAATTAAAATAAAACTGGGAAATGGTTCTGGGTAAGAAACAATATTCTCTTAAACTACCCTTGTTCACAAATTCCTGAACTTGAGTTGTGGGTGGTATGGAGAGAGAGAGAGATCTCTTTTAGCACTTCCATGGTTGTGTGTTTTAGATTATGTTTCATTTTCTCTACTTTTGATTCTTGAGAGAGATCAGATCTGAGAGTTGAAAATCCTAAAGAAAGAGGCCGTGATGATGTGGTTGAGATATGGGACTGGTTGGTTGGGTTGGATCATAGCATAGGCCGTTCTACTATGGAATGAGGAAGAAAAGTGGACAATATCTTAGGAAAATGGACGCAGAAGAGGTTTGTTATGGTTGGAGGATTTTGGAGGCTCGGGTTCTTATGGCATCCGATAAGATATTAAAGAAAGAAAAACCAGTAGTTGTTAAAAGGGAAGGTGGTGTTATCCATGTGAGTGCATTACATTTTTCCTCAACTGTTGTGCTGGTCAAAAAAGTGACTGTTTACTTGGAGTTGGTAAAACATGTATTATACTTCTATTTAAGTAGTAAGAATAAACTCGCACTCATTGTTTTCCCTCACAGAAACAAGTAGCATTATTTCAGTCATTTACGAATTTGAACTCAAACCAACATATTTCTAATCACTTTGAATTTCTTAAAGCTTTTTGTCAGGTATATTCCATCACTGCAAGCAACATTCACCTTTTCAAATTTTCATGTTTCTTATCACTTGGAATTTCGCATTTTTTTTTCAGGTATATTCCATCACTGCAAGCAACGTTCACCTTTCCACAATGCCTTGGCATTTTGGGTGGGAAACCAGGTGCATCGACGTACATTGTTGGCATTCAAGAAGAAACTGCTTTCTACCTTGATCCACATGATGTTCAGCCGGTAAATTCCTTGTTGCTTTACTTTATCACTCATATGTTTCATTCCCTTGTTCTTTTAAATGTGATACAAGTACATAGACTGGTAGACTTATCTGTGAAACTTCTTTTGCTTGTTTGGTTTGTGGCTGACAAATGTTTTCTCTCTTCACTGGGACTCTTTTGGAAGTCATTTATTCTGATCTCTTGTGTGAAATAATGTAAATCTTTGTACAAACTAAACGTATATTTTTAAGTTGGGGAATTGGTTGGTAATTTTTAATCCTGAAACATAGTGAAATCATTCATCATCCTCAGGCATGATAGTGAAATTCTGAAACATACTTTAAAGCTTCTTCTACTATCCCTTTGCTGATGTAGCACTGCAGTAGAAACAAATAAAAGAAAAAGATACCTGAACCAAGGGTAAAAAGTTGGCATGGAATAGAAGTCAGCAGAATAGAATGCTAAAATATTAACATATCTACTATAAATGGTTGTTTAATGTGTATGGAAGACTATTTTAACTAAAGTTACAATGGCTTTTATCGCTAACCCATAAATACTTATTTCTGTATTCTCTTTCCTTTCTACAACTTAGTTTCCGGACAAATAATTGTTATAATTGCATAGACAATGTAGAATGTCACTTACTTATCAAAACAATGTAGAATACTCTTAGCTGACTTTTAATGATGATTCTGGATCTTCTCAAAGATTTTCAGTTAATGTAGAGCAGATCAAGTGTAACAGGTGACTCAAATGGTGTCGAGATAGTCGAACTTAGCTAGACGTAAGAGATAATAACAAAACAAGAAGACAGTCACGTTATCTTTTCTTTCTTTCCTTTTTTCTTTTTGCTATTACTTGTATTTATATATCATTGCTTTGTCCATTGATTTCACTTTATATATCATTGCTATATTGTGTAAATTTTCAAAATTGAACTTCACCATAATTTATGTTTTGATATATCGTAACAATAATTGCTTAAAGAAACGACTCATTCTTTACTTTTCGAAGTCATGTTCTTAGCTGAGCAATAGTTTCCCGCAACTCTGTGCTTTTGACTTCAGATAGTTTGTTTGCTGTATAGTTATCTTAGTTGGGTCAAAATCAAATTTAGGAGTTCATGGTAGTTGTAGTGACATGGAAAATCTTTTTTGCCAGGTAGTTAATCTTAGTCCGGACAATCTGGAGGCAGATACATCATCTTATCACTGCGAGTGAGTTCCTTTCTCTGATTAATTTACTTGTTACATGCATTGGTTCTTTTCCCCTTAATTTTGTGTTTATTATATGATACAGTACCATACGACACATTCCTCTGGATTCAATTGATCCGTCCCTGGCAATTGGATTTCTCTGCCGAGACAAAGGTTTTGTCGTTTATCTTGTTCGTATTCTATAATATTACGGCATATGTTTGGACCAGGCTACTTATGGACTATGAAATGAGCTTGTTCTATCTTTGTTCTGGCAGATGATTTCGACGATTTTTGTTCCCGGGCATCCAAACTAGCAGAGGAATCAAATGGCGCCCCCTTGTTTACTGTTGCTCAATCACGTGGTTCTTTAAAGCGAATTCACCAAGGCAATACAATGGCCGATGCGGGGGAGGTTGAAGCAGATAAATCCATTGATGGGGAGGATGAAAACAGTAACGAGGATGACTGGCAGATCCTGTGATGGAGGTTTCTATATCGTTGACCGGATTATTTATGTATACTGATTACAACATTTGTAGGTTAGTACTTTGGGTTACAATGATTCTTTCACTAAATTTCAAAACTATTTGCCAAGCTGTTATTGATTTGTAAGATACGTGCAATTACTGTTGATTTCATTTCATTCTACACAATGGTTATATTGTAAAAGGAAAGTGTGACCGCAGGAAGCTGCTTTAAGAGGTTTATTAACATGTCTTTTAGGTTTTGACTGAAAGGAACTTCAATTATAATCCGGTATTATTATAACATAATTATAAATATTAAAGTTATCAATATTGTACCCATGAACAAATTATTTCTGTTACAGTACAAGTGCATATTAACAGTAACTAGCGTATTGATTCGGATTTTATTTACATTTTTAATATAATTTAATTATTAACTTTTTAATAAAAATATTTGAATTACATATGTAAAAATATATTTATATATAAATATAAATTTTAAAATTATTAGTTAGATTGAAAATTTTAATTCAACGGTTATAAAAACAAAATATGATAAAAAAATACTAATTTTACTTAAAAAATTTAATAAAGTATTCTTTGATTAATTATACAGTACTTATTTAACTTAATATAATGGCTAAGTGTTGATTTATTCTTAGATCTCAAGTTTAATATCTGTTAAATTTATCTTGTTTTTAATTTTTAATATATATTTTCTTATTGAAAAACTAAATTTATTAAATTATTTTTAAATTAAACTTAAATTAATAGAATATATAAATTTTAAAATTAAATGTATTATTATATTAAATTTCGTCGCTATCTATATTAATGTTTTAATCTTTGATAACTGTTTTTAAAAAAAACATAATATTAATAATTAATCTATTAAAAGATGATAAAAAACAGAAGTCGATAATAATTAGGTGATTGGTAATAAAAAGTGGAGACGGCGAGCGTTAAGTATGAGGTGTGGGAATATGGAATATAGCATAAAGAAAAGTTTGACTGCAACTTTGTCATTTATTGGGTAAAAAATTATTATTAAAATATTAATATTTTTTAACAAATTCAATAAAGCATCAAATAATAACAAAATCAATAGAAAAATAATAAATTCGATAACGCTTTACTAAATATGCTAACAAAATCGATAAAGTGCCCAATAATAACAAAACCAATAGAAATAATAATGTTTTCGATAATTTTTTATTGATTTTATTATTTAAAAATAATAATAAAATCAATAATACATTTTCTTAATCGTATATTAAATGTATCACACGCGATATTTTCCTTTTATTGGGATAAGTCATGTGCTCAAATTCATTCATTAATCAATTGGAAAGATTAGGCCCGTAAACGAACCGAACAGACGCGAACGGAGGTATGTTCATGTTCGTTCATTTAATAAATAAACGAACATAAACGAACACAAACATAAACGAACAATTTTTTTTGTTCATGTTCGTTCACTAAGGAATATATCTTGTTCATGTTCATTCATTTAAATAATAAACGAACATAAACGAACACGAACGAACGAGCATAAACGAATAACACAAACAAACAAAAACTTATTCGAACACAACAAACGAATGTAAAAAAAAAAGTAAACAACAATAATAACAACTTAAAATTCATTAATATAACCTGCAACTTTAGAGTTAATTTATTCGAATACGACAAAAACATACATAAATCATAAATAAGCTATATGAACATAATAAAGTCTTAAAGTTAATTTGTTCAACAAAACAATCTTCTTGAAATCCAAACAACTTCAATAATCTTCGTAACATATTCAACTTACCCTCAGTTCGAACATAAATGAACGAACATATAATCGAACATTCACGAACGTAAATGAACGAACGAACCCTTTGTTCATGTTCGTTCATTTAATAAAACAAACTCAAAATCTTATTCATGTTCGTTTATTTAATAAATAAACGAACACAAACGAACTTCCTACCGTACAGTTCGCTGAACGTTCAGTTCATTTACAGACCTAGAAAAGATGTTGCAATAAACCCTCATGGGCTGCCCATTTCAGATTTCCTCTCCTCTCACTAATAGTAGTACCCAAACTCCGCAATCGTCAATGCCACCTTCCCCGCCCGACCTTATATACACTCGAAAAGTATGTTGGATTTTATGTTAGGCATGTTACATCAAAGAAGTGAATGAGATTTGTCGTTATTTGAAAATTTAAAATTATCATATATTTTAAATTTTTATGTATTTTTATTAGAAATTTGTTTTCATTCACTCTAGAATTTTATAAGTTTGCTCCTTAACATAAAATTATACATCTCCATATATTATGGATAAAAATTTAAGGTAAATTATACAAATAGTCTCTTTACTATAAGGAATTAATTTGTTGAGTTATTGACTATTAAAAGTTATAAAATGATTATCTGATTGTAGAACATTATTTTGTTGAATCTTTCGACTATTAAAAGTTATAAAATGATTATTCGACTATTCATATGTTTCAATATCCTCATTTTCTATTAAAAAATTGACTGTAGTTTGAGTTGAATGTTAACCTGTTAACTAGGTATGATAAAATCATATTTTATTGGTGTCTATTGGCATCATAAATTGCTCTTAAGCATTAGCTCAACAGCATAATATTTCAAACACTAACTCGACGATATAATGAGGGTAAACTGTACTGATGACCACTTAGTTATTAGAGAATTTTATTTTGACTATTAACTTTTTTAGTTTTTTCAATCAAATTAAATTTTAAAAATAAAATATCTGTATTTAAAACTTAAGAGAAAAAATATATACCAAGATATTCATAATGATTTTTACAAATGATGCTTTATAGTTTTTAATAATTTATGTTAATATTATATGTGTACTTTATTTTAATGAATTTATTTTTATTTTATAATATCTTAAACCAATTTGTTAAGTATTCTTAAACACTTATATCTTAAACCAATTTTTCAAAAGAATTTTTATTCAACACCTTTCAAAACCCTTGTTAAACTAGTTTTATTTTATTTAATTAAAATATTTGGTTATTTTAATTTTATAAACAAGTAAAATCCATTTTTATTTAAATAATAACCATAACAATACACAATATATATATATACGTAGGAAGTGGCCCAATGGTTTTTGATTTAAGGTCCAATACATGGCCTTATGTGTAGGTGCCCAAAACACCAAGGCAAAAGCTGGGAATACGGAATAGTATAAGTTTAGTATTATCATAATCATGATAACAAATTCTGGGAATAGATTTTGGGATGATAAATATGAGATTGTGATTTTAGATTCAAATGTCCCTGTCTCTCTTGCACTCTGGAGGCATAGAAGGGTATCTGCTCCTGTCGTTGCAATAGTTGTAGATGGTGTATTTGTTGCGCACCCAGGCCAGCCTCCTCCATTGGTACGAGTCCAGGTCCTGGAACTCCTTTTGATCCCACCACCGCTTCCCCTGTGTGGCACAGAACTTTGCATTCACCGACGACTCACACCCATCGATGTGGAACCCCTTGTACGCCGCTATGAACGGTGCATTCGACCAGTCGGTCTTCTCCAGCCCACCCCTCGTTGCCCAGTCATCCGCGTTCCACAAGCTGGAGTATAACTTCATCGGCTGGTTGAATGGGAACTTCACCCCCAAATCTTTGCAGTTCTTGAACACTCGAATCGGAACGTCGTCAACAAAGAATCTGTCCCGTACGTTTCGAAATCAATGCTTTAGACAAAGATTGAACATAAAAAGAAAGCCAACTACTACATTACGAGACTTACACAATCTGATAGAGGTTCCACAGCACAGAGTAGGAGTGGTAGTCTTTGGTTGGGTCGAACCAAAGATAAATCCTTTGTTCTCTGTCACCCTTTCCTCCGGTGAACACATTGGTCTGCAGAATGTATGGCTGCCCTGTCCTGTTCCCCAGGAACTCAAAGTCCATCTCATCATGCTCCGAGTTTTGAGAAGACAACTGCAACGCAAGAGATGAATTAGCAAATCTTGAGTTTTATATGCAGAGACCGAAGCAGTGGGATTGCAGTTTCGTTTACTCACATAGAAGGCAGTAACAGTTCCAGCAGAATCTCCTGGGACAAGCTCTATTTGCATACTGAAATGCCCGAACAAGTAAGACCCTTTTGACTGGAAACCAGTACCTTTCACAACAGAATAACATGAGATAAGATACACTGTAGGAAGAGATAAAATAAAAGTAGTCAGCATTGATATATTCATACCAGTATACTTGTCAAGGAAAAGCTCAATCTGGGAGCCGCCACTGTAGTACTTGATATGATCAAGAGCCCAAGTAGGCACATAGTTCCTCCCGAATGGGACAGGTGCAGGCCTTCTCGGGGGAGCTCCCATTGTTCCAGACGCCATAAACAACACACACACGAACAGAATCCAGAGTGATGAACCCATACTTCTGCACAAAATCAATCTAACATTTAGATAGAAACCAGTACAAAAAAGAAAACGAAAATGAGAGAAATGAAGTCGTAGATGTTGCATACCCGAAAGAGATAGAGGGAGGGAAGGAGGAAACCGAGCTGAAGGGTGAGGAAAAATGGAGGAGGGGGATGGGGTTTATGTAGCCTTTGATTCCAATTTAGTTTCTATAGCTCTAAACTGTTAAAAATAATAATGATGCAAATGGCATCACATTATGGAACGAGCTACGAGGATTTCGAAGAGCGACGGTTAAATCAAATTACACGATCTAATGCAAAGTTAAACCTTTAATTATGCTCTCAGTCAATTTTATTTTTTTACATTTAAATTTTTAATCTCAGCAAATTTATTTTCTTCTTTACATTTTTTTACATTTAAACTCTCTGAGATTAAAAAAATGATATTCAGCAAAGAGTGAGCCTTTTGAAATCTCATGTTTAAATATTTTATAATTAATTTTGATTTAAAATTACACTTATGTTAAAATATATTCTGATTATAAAAAATTTAGTTGGAGTTTGTAGGATGATAATCAGTAAGGTATTTGGTAAGTTACGAAGTGCAGAGCCCAAAACAGAGCTGACAGATTTGGTGCAAGAGGAGAGATCATGTTTCCTATGCATATGAGTGACAGCGTTGTGATGGCAACAAATTATATTTATTGGCACTTTACCCACATTAATTAATGAACCCAATCATCCATGCACAATTATAAAATTCACATATTTGGACTAATTCATTTCCCAATGAAATGCTGCAAAGTTCAACAGCTATAGCCTATATATGATGTATTACAATAATAAAGAAATCAGCGAGCAAGATCAGGATAAGATGGAAAATAATCACGATATAATATAAAATGAATTAAGATAATTAATTATATGATACAGCTACGAGGAAAGATAATTATAATTAATTATAAAATACACCAACATGCTGCTGCCTGATCAACTACCAGCATCTTCATGTCACTGACGCCCCACCCGATTCCATGCCGCCTATCCCTCACATGCATATGCATGCGTTAGGACCGATGTTGTGTTGGGTCAGTTTGGTTGGTGTGAAGCGGTTGAGTGGCCTGGACATCAGTTTGATTTCGAGTCACAGATTAAGAAATTTTTATAGAACTAATACATATATATTAATAATATAAATTTTTATATGAGATAAATATAAATAAAATCTAAGAACAAATATATTAATGAAATAAATAAATAGAATTTAAATCTTAAGATAAACATTTACTTGTTCTAAATTAGGCCCCTGCCCAACAGCACGTGAACATTTTAATGAATCTCCTTGGCTTTGTTCAAACTCCATTGACTTGTGGAGACTTTTATTTCAGCCTTGTCTTGTTGCCCTTTTTGGGGGTATGAGTTTGATTCACGTTATGTCCAGAATCGAAAGCTTGGTTTTGAGCATTTCACCGGTCACAGGAATTGAGTTTGGGATCACCCAAATACCAACTCTATAATATACCATCAACTCTTGTTTGTCACGATAGACTAATAATTTTTTTCCTCGGATATCTTATACTAAAACTAATTTCTTGTAACATAATGAAATAAACTCTCTACATAAACAAAAATTATTGTGAATGAAAATACATTTATCTTGTCAACAGTTAATGACTTATCTATTATAATTTAGGTGTCGGTCAGGCAAGTAACGGTCGTAGGCCAATTATTTCTCTATGAGAGAAAGAAGAAAAATAACGTAGAAGTGAAGATTACTCTTGGTCCGAGTGAAAAGATAAAAGAGAGAAAGAGTCTCACATGTTAATCATGATTGAGAGGTATTTATGGTTAATTTATTGATAGTGGTATGTATATGATAATTATTTGAGTTTGTCAAAAGTATTGTTTTGTCTATGCATTATATTTGATTGAGAGAGTGTAATACACTTATAATCGAAGGATAAGAGTTCTTTGGAAATTTCGGTAAGTGGAGATATCTATACGAAGATCTCGACTGATGAGAAGCTAAAGACACCTATTTAAAAATATCAATTAACGAAGAATTTAATAGTTTCTGAAAATAACATTCGAAGATATAACAATTATAAAAAATAATAAACATAAAAATAAAGGGTCACATAGTTCAAAATAATAGTTCCAAATTATTAATAAGTTGGAAATAAGAAGAAACAGCAAATCAAGTATTAAATCGTGAGGCGCCAACAACAGAGTAATAGCAGGAATACGCATGTGCGCAGCTGCTAAGGTTGCTTCGCTACCGTTGCACACTGCAAACTATCCCACAATCCACATGCCCATACCTCTCTTCCACCTGGAAATTTTAATCTTGTATTTTCCCTTTTTTTTAAAATAAGTATAAATTCATATTTATATTAAATTATCACGTTAATCTTGTTTAAATTTCGTATGATGTTTACTATAGTTTTCATATTTATTGAAGAATTAATTTTTCTCAAAATCTATATTTTATGCTAAAATATTTCAAAAACTAATAATATATCCTTTTCTTTTCTTTTTAAAATAATTAGGTTGGAAGCGATCGAAAACGTTATAGGAAATTATAACATTTTAGTTTAGATGCAACAGAAAATGTTATATTCTTTATAACATTAATATTTTTTATTGGTAACATACATCATGCATACGTAACTCTTCGAAATCAAAATTTCTAAAAAAAATAATACTATTTTTTTATCAATGAGATCAATCAATGAATTCAAAATAATTTTTTTAAAAGATGGTGTGACGAGTGATATACGAAATATGTGTACGAACAAACAATGTTGAACCTTACATGAGCAATACAATGTGAATAAAAAATAATTAAAATATAACATAAATATGTGATACGTACCATAGAATACAAAGTTATAAGTATACCTTGGATTTGAATGAAAAGATGTTTATTTATCAAGGTTTGTACTTACGTAGTAATATTTTACAAAGAATGTAAAATTGAAAGATAAAATTCATAGATTAAAGTGTTGGAGCTTTGCGAAAGAGATGAAGTGTCGGTGGAAATGAGACCGGCTAGACGGAATTCATGGGAAGTCGTTCTGCATTTTAATACAATTATTACTGTCACTATACAGTATTTTTTTAGATTAGCTGTATCTATTCTAGAATAAGGCTGTATAGTAGCCCCAATGAAAGTTGGTCGGTAATTAGCAGAAGCTTTGCAGGGCGCAAATCTCAATGACCATAATATAATCCAAGAGCATTAGAAGATAGGGGTTTATTTTTCAGTTTTAATCGAATTAATCGATCGAATCGAATTAATTCGGTTAATTTTATCGATCACCGAATTAATTCGGTTGAAAAATAGTTAATAAATTTTTTAGAATTCGATTCGAAATCGGTTAATTAACCGAAATTAAATTTTAAATATTAAATATATTATATATAACATATGGGCTCTACCAAAACCATCTAAAACTCTACTAATAATTTAAGATCTAATAACTTTTAAACATAAATCAATATTAATTAATTAAAAAAATCCATATGAAATTTTTTATTTTATAATTATATATTATTTAAATTAATTGTAAATTGTTTTTTGAATTAAAAAATATTCAATTTTTATATAAATTAGAATTTTTTTAAAAAAATCGGTTAATTCAAAAATTAATTGAAATTTATTTGGTTCAGTTAATATTTTTTTTAAAAATTCAATTCGTTTAAAAAAATTCAATTAATTATGTCAAAGGTAATTCGGTTCGACCAGCCACCATTTTAACCGAATAAACACCCCACTAATCATGTTTTTGCAAATTACAAATAACTTTCACTATTACCGTAGATCAGATCTAGGGAAGACCATATTTAGATTTATACAAATTATATATTATATTAGCTGTATTTGTAATGTCATTTGCATTATTATTGCTATATCATTATAAACGGAACACAACAACATTGAAATCAAAGGCCTACATAAACCCCCTCCCCTTCCTCCATTTTTCCTCACCCTTCAAATCAGTTCCCTCCCTCTCTCGGGTATGCAACATCTCCGAGTTCCTTTCTGTCATTTTCGTTTTCCATTTCTGTGTTGGTTTCTATCTAAATGTTAGATTGATTTTGTACAGAAGTATGGGTTCATCACTCTGGATTCTGTTGGTGGGTGTGTTGTTTATGGCGTCTGAAACAAAGGGAGCTCTCCCGAGAAGGCCTGCACCTGTCCCATTCGGGAGGAACTATGTGCCTACTTGGGCTTTTGATCATATCAAGTACTACAATGGTGGCTCCCAGATTGAGCTTTACCTTGACAAGTATACTGGTATGAATATAACAATGCCAACTACTTTTATTTAATCTCTTTGCCTTTATTCTCTTCCTATAATGTATTTTATTTCATGTTATTCTGTTGTGAAAGGTACTGGATTCCAGTCAAAAGGGTCTTACTTGTTCGGGCATTTCAGTATGCAAATAAAGCTTGTTCCAGGAGATTCTGCTGGAACTGTTACTGCATTCTATGTGAGTAAACGAAACTGCAATCCCGCTGCTTCTATCTCTGCATATAAAAGCTCAAGATTTGCTAATTCATCTCTTGCGTTGCAGTTGTCTTCTCAAAACTCGGAGCATGATGAGATAGACTTTGAGTTCCTGGGGAACAGGACAGGGCAGCCATACATTCTGCAGACCAATGTGTTCACCGGAGGAAAGGGTGACAGAGAACAAAGGATTTATCTCTGGTTCGACCCAACCAAAGACTACCACTCCTACTCTGTGCTGTGGAACCTCTATCAGATTGTGTAAGTCTCGTAATGTAGTAGTTGGCTTTCTTTTTATGTTCAATCTTTGTCTAAAGCATTGATTTCGAAACATACGGGACAGATTCTTTGTTGACGACGTGCCGATTAGAGTGTTCAAGAACTGCAAAGATTTGGGTGTGAAGTTCCCATTCAACCAGCCGATGAAGTTATACTCCAGCCTGTGGAACGCGGATGACTGGGCAACGAGGGGTGGGCTGGAGAAAACCGACTGGTCGAATGCACCGTTTATAGCGGCGTACAAGGGGTTCCACATCGATGGGTGTGAGTCGTCGGTGAATGCAAAGTTCTGTGCCACACAGGGGAAGCGGTGGTGGGATCAAAAGGAGTTCCAGGACCTGGACTCGTACCAA